ATGTAACTGAAATAATGCATATGAAAATTTTTGTCCTTACATTTAATGAACAATCAAATCAACATAATATTACATTTTGACCACTTTTTACCTATACTTTTTTTTACTTGTCATGACTTTGTTTTTCATGCTTTGATTGATTTATGGGTTTTGTTCTACTCGAGTCATAACTTTCGTTGCTTGAAGATTGAGGGTTGATATTGTTATGTGAGACGATTAAACACTGTGGTTTCATTGTCGGTCAATAAAATTTTTTGTTAACTGTTCAAGCATTATACACCAAATCAATTAATTTTGAGTGTCAAATTTTAGACGGATAGGCTTTTTTTATTGGATCCAAAATTTTCATTCAGTTGATCAACGCCTCATAGGGAGGTAGTCGATGATAATTTTTCAAGGTGATTCTCTCGAAATCCTTTGTGGAGCATTTTCGCTTCACCAACGCATCTATCCTCAATAAGGGGTAGTTGTCTGTAGGACAAGCCGCATTCAAATTATTTAAGTCTACGCACTTCCTTTTATTGCCATTAGACTTCTGCATTATGACCACGACAACACATAATAGAGATATTGTACCTTCCGGATGTCTCTTATTTTTTTAAGCTTTTGCACCTACTCGCGAAACAACCCGACCAAAGTCATGATAGGTAATCAAATCTTTTGTTTCACAGGCCGGGAAATTGAATTGACATTGAGGTGATGACATGCCACATTTATCGAAATGCCCGACATCTCAATGCTCGACTAGGTGAAGACATCATGGTACTCTTAGAGAATTCAAATCAATAAATACATGTGTCATGTATCAAAAGTTTCACTAATTAGAAATAATTTATTTGGTTTGTCCTGATCGGCTAGGATCCCGATGGTGGTTTCATCAGTTTGAAGATGCCTTTTCATTTGTGTTGGATGTTCAACTCTTCTTGCTCCACGCTACCTACCGCTCGATGGTAGCACGCTCAAGACTACTCTAGATTTTTACGCACGATCACAATTTCACCATCATACAAAAATTTTACTGCCACATGGTATGTTGATACCACTACTCTAAAATTATTTAGCAGTGAGTGACTAAAGATCTCAATGAAGGTTGGTGGTGCATCGACCACCAAACAATCCTCAATATTGGTAAATTTGTTGCCAATCTCTCCCTAGAGGCTCCTTTCATTCACCAGAAAAACCATGTTAGGGGTTCAATCGACACAACCAATCGATTTGTTGACATCTTCTTTTTGTCAAAAATAGATTTGAACAATATGTTCCCCCAAACTGACCGTATCAATCAAAATACTACATGCCTGGTTGTTGTTGATCATTGTTGTAATGATAATGGTTTCATTGTAGGAATTCCTTGCAGGGGTGCCTTGCTCAACCACTGAGATTGAGCCCCGGGGCCTAAAAATTCTTTGAGTTTCTGACTCTAATAAGCTACTCGACTAGGCTTTGGAGGTGTTTGCATTCTTTTGCACCTTTGAAACATTTTTTTTATGCAAGAACATTCTTCACTATAGTCTTGAAAGGTTATTCATGCCTTCAGAGCATATGTAGTGGGGTAATCTTTTTGCGTCCCATTTAGACATTAAATCTATGGAAATTAATTCTATGTTGGGGGCAACCTTCATTCTAGTCTAGAAAGTTGTTTGCATAAATGTCCCAGACACAATAGTGGTGTGGTGGTCATCCCACGTCTCATTTAGACATCAAGTTTTTGAGAGCTGCTTCCAAACTGAGGGCAACTTTTATCACAATAGATGCTTCCTCAGGGTCCCCTCACCATACTGATGTTCCTCTTCAATGGGATTAGGAAGCTGATATTTCAAGGTTCAATACATTGGATACTTTATAAGCTCGTGTGAAAAATGCCCCTGCATGACTAATTCTAAAGTAGCAACTAGCAAGTTGTCAAAAATCATTCTTCAATATGACTTCAACCATATTTCTAAGAAAAAATATAACCCATTGCAACCCATGCCTCAATGTCAAAAAACATAGATCATCTCTGATAACTCATTTTGAGCTTAATCAATACTAAGGCGGCTCAAATTGATCTCTTCCATCACAGGCTACAGTCGTCAATCAAAATCTTTGACGAATATCCTTAAATAGGTCAAGAATCCTTAGTAGATTCCCTTCGACCTCATCCGTAAAAGGTTATGGCTGGAAAATAAGCTTCAACTAATAACCTCATAATGGTCCACTATCTTTGGTGGATTTTATGTGACTTTTTCCATTACAGGTTAACACTGTCAAGTATCTACGACTATACAACCTATAATCGGTCTTACATCCATAATATATTCTCCTTTCATCTATGTTCCAATATAGGTTAACATTGTTAAATATCTCTAGTCATGCAACTTATAACAGGTGTTTCATCTTCCATGAAATATAACTATTTAATCCTACTATTTTTATAACATTCTTCTTCTACTGCATGCTACAATTGTCTGGTGAATGCGATATGACTGAATGAACTAGGAAAATTTAAACATTCCAAGTGAAAGCCCAAAAATTGGGGGGTATCGACTTAGAATTTGGGCAAAATTATCTTGTAACACCCAGGAGACGAGGCAATCACAACTAAGAAGAAAAGGCAAAAACAATTCCAAAAATGATATCAAAATTTTTAATATATTAAGCAAAATAAAGATGTGCAGTCAAACATACTATCAATCAACAATTACATCAGTCTGAATCATACAACAAATCATCGATTAGATGCAATAAAAAGCAAAAAAAAATAATGTTAATCTACTTTCAACATTTTCCTCATCATCAGAAGTACACTCTCACAAGTTACCTTTGACTTCTCTGCTTTTCGGACAGAGGGAAGATTGTTTGGCTTCTGAATTAATGATATGTCCTTAAGGATAACGACTTTATATTCTCCTCGTCATGGTCAATATTCTCTCTTAAAAGCCTACAAATCGCCATGCTCGAATAGAGATCAACTCACATTTTTTTCTATTCTTATTGAGTATCTATTAATTCCAATGTTGTTGGGAGAGAAAAATTGTCATGGAGGATTACTCATCCATACACTTTGCTAACTGACATCCCAATTATAATATGTCTATGACATTGGAGTTATTCACCTTCTTGTGTTCGCAAACCCCTACCAACTCGATCATTCACACTCCCAAAGAAAAGAGGCAACTCATCTCCAAATGGTGTCGCATCGCCTCCTCAAACTTATGTTGTTTTTGTTGTTTTTCAAGGAGACAAAACTCTCCAGATAACAACTTCTTAGGAGCATGGAAAATCCACTTTGAAAAATATGACCAAAACGTGAAATATCTCCTACAAAAAATCACCACATGAAAGGAAACCTCCCCCATAAAGCATGAAAACTATGTGAAAAATCCTCTCCAGACCGCAATGAGAAAAAACTCATACAGAAATCACTACAATAGTGCAGAAGAGCTCACCCATAAATTTCTTATAACAACACAAAAAAGTTTCTTCAGAAAACATGACTGCAATGCAAAAAAATCTTCTCTATAAATTACTACATCAAAGTAGTGAATCTCCCCTGAAAAGTGCTGCAACAGTGCAAAAAATCATCTCTGGAAAGCTTGACAACAATGCAAGAAATTTTCTCCAGTAATCAATGCTACAATGCAGTAAATCGCCTCTAGAATATTTATAACAACGCGAAAGAAGATCTTGTTGATTCTTTGTAAGCTGGGGAGGTGAAACCTTTTTTCTTCTAGAACGTTATGTTGATTGTCTGTTAGTGGGCCAGATGACAAATTTTTATTTTTAGGATTTCCCGTAGATCGTCTTCTAGCTGACCGGTGACACTTTCTTTCTCCAGAAGATTTCGTTGATCGGCTGTTAGTAGGTCGGGGGACTTCGATCTCTTTCTTCAAGAGATTTCGTTGATCGTCTGCCAGCAAATCATTGACTTTTTTTTTTTCTAGAAGATCCTATTTTGCTAGATAGGGACTCCACACTCTCCAATTTCTGACATATTTTTAGGTTGGGCAAAGAATAAAAAAAATAGAAGGAAAATATTTTTTAGGCAATCTAAATTTTAAAATAAAAATTATTTTCTTTTCTCATATAAGATCAAAGAATAAAAATCCCTCATATTTTTCTCCTTAATTGATTTTGTTTTTATAGTTTGAATAAACTTCAATTTCTCGGAAAAAGGAGGCATTTGTGGTGATGTGGAAAATATACTCAGGAATGATAAGAAATTGTAGGCTTGGTGGTCTGCGAAACTGGCAACTTAGACGACGGGTTCACGGTCGGTGCTTCGACGGAGGTGCATCAACATTGGTTGCTTGGAGGTGCTTTCTCGGAGAAAATGGGCAGCTGGCGAGTAGAATGGAGAAGAAGTGGGGCATATTAGAGAGGCCGTGAAAGGGCTTCAAATGGCTTCTCCGCCAGCGCTTCAACAAAGAATCATGGGTAGCGAGAGAACTGAGGGCACAATCATGACACGAAAGGGCTTTGAACAGGCTTTTGATTTTCTTTTAATATAATGAAATCTTCATTTCACGCCACAATTTTATCAACGTAAATCCAAATATATATACATAAAGATTTAGTCAATTTCAATTTTTGTTTTATAAAGCTAACCGATATAAAACAAAAACTAAATAAATTACTATTTTTAAAATTTTTACTTTTTAAAATTAGCTTTTGACCACCGACTAGTAAATCCAAATATATATACATAAAGATTTAGTCAATTTCAATTTTTGTTTTTTAAAGCTAACCGATATAAAACAAAAAATAAATAAATTACTATTTTTGAAATTTTTACTTCTTAAAATTAGCTTTTGACCACCGACTATTTCAGAAGACCTTCTGAAGCAAAATTTATAACTTGGACCGGGATCATGGGGTTGTCACATCCCCATATTTCGGTGATCGCAAATGGAATCTTAATAAAACTCTGCACCAAATTTATTTGAGTGAGAACGTGTCAATTCGTTAGAACACCCCTTACATTTAAAAATAATTAAAAAGTTTGAAGATAGACCATAAAAGGTACATATGAGCTTGGCTCGCTTTCCTTTTTCCTTCTGCAGTCGCCTCGTTTACTCGCTTTGCATTCCCGACTCTACTTATTCCCTTACTTCATAGAGCAAAATACTCTGAGATTTTTGAATTGAAGTTCCAAGATTTGCTTTTTATCTTCCAATGGAAGTTCACAAAGATGTAAGTTTTCTTCCTTTTCTTCCTATATCGTTTATCCGGCTACTGTGACTAAGATCGAAGGTTTTAACGAAAGGTTTGATGAGTCAGAGTTCTTGATCTGCGATCTTGTGCTTTTCACGCAGCACCCCCCGCGCCCGAATTAACCTTCGGTTCAATCTGGAGTACAAGGGTATTCACTATTTTGGCTCAAACGTCCCTTTTTGTGTTTTTGTACTCCGAGGTATGGAGTGTTGTATCTGGCATCTTAATTGAACTTTTGCAGTTTTAGCTTGAGCGGATTCTAGTATCTGTCATACTCGGCTGCTTCAGTTGAAAAAATTCTTTTTTTTTTACTTATCATAGTTTTTGTAGGATCTTTTTATGGGGTGTTACAAACAAATTTCCACCATTACAGGTCTAACATTTATTTTCTTGGAGCTTTTTGTTATGGTTATTGTTCTCATATAGTTTCAAATTCTCATGTTTTCAACATTAAAATGAAATCTTTCCGTGTAATCTGATATTCTCAACTGATAACTATAACCCATGAAGATGACTTAAAATGGAAGTTTCACCGTTGTGCTAATATCTATCATAAGTGCGATATGTCAATCGCATGTGGAAAATCCCAATATTGCTAGATCTTCTTCCCTAAGCAGGCCTTTGTTATTGAAAACTTCTCTGTGGTTTTTATCTTCTAACAGTCGAATAGGCTTTCACCACCTAAAATTTCCTTCTTTTAAATGGAGTTTTCCTGGAAAAGAGGACCCCAAATGAAAGTTTGGAAATTGCAGTATTGAAGCTGTTATATTTTCATTGGATTATTATAATTCTAGTCGGATACTAAGTTTTTTAGTTGCTGATGGAATAAAAAATATATTTTTGTTTTACTTTAATGGTTTATTCTTCCATCTGCTCTAGCAAGCTGAGTGATTCCCTGGGTTGACCATTGAGTTGTATTTCTTTTTGAATAAATGAAATTGATCATGCTTTACTTTTGATTGGGAAATGTCGTCATGCTGATCTGGCTGGGGCAGAGCAATGAACGTTTATCCATACCCACATTTGGCGAGTGGGATGGGAAGGTTGGTCTACCGGACTACTCGGTTGATTTTACTAAGATTCGAGAAAATAGGCGGCAGAACAAGAGTCGGGTGAGCTTGGGGAATGAGGATGAGCTTCTACATCGTACTGGTGTAAATGGTGACCAGAGTGTTGATGCTCTCAAGAAGACTCTCCCTCTTCATCAGAAGCATGTTAAATCCACAGTGGTAAGTCTTGTGCTTCATCTTGTTGCTCCTAATATTCTTTGAGATGTTGTTTGACTATTAATCTTATGGCTGTTCCAGACTTAGCTTGTTTAGAAAGTTCTTTTGTTGGTATGAATAAAGATTCTACATTTATGCTACACGGATTTCACATATTTTTGTGGAAAAGTTTTTTTCTTTTTACAGTTTTGCATTATTGATATTTTTCTGAAAATACTAATGCAGAATAAATTAATTGTTTGGTTACGTCAGACAGTTAGAATTTTCTAAACTTTTGAATTCTCTGATTATCACTTGAACAAGGGAGGGGAATTGTTTATTTTGTTAATTTCCCCTTTAACTGATTAGACCTAGAATTTCATATCGATATGTGTTATTGAAGTTCAACTCTTTGCTTGAAAAGACTAAAGCTGTTTTCTAGTTTTTGCTTTGCATGCAGATAGGGGGCTACTTATGGAGAAGCTATGGCTTCATGTAGTTGATGCTTTTAAAATAAAAATAAGATATATTAGGATGGAAAATTTGGCTACTTATCTGATATTTTTCTCAAAATTTTCTTCAGAGTTGCTGCTTTTGAAAAAGAAAAAAGAAAGATTGTGGTTGAGAAAATAGTTCTTTAAGGCTTCAATTACAAAAGCCGAAAAACATAAGCAATGCCAATTGAGGCCTATTACTTTCTGTGGTGTTTGCTTCTTTTGATTTAGTTCACAGTGATGGGATATTTCCTATTATCAGTTATGTCAATTATATACCAGGTTTGTAATTTATTACTATTGTGAATAATAGGTTCCATTTTTTCATGTCTTGATTTTTGTGAATTGCAATAGTTCATTTGATTTGTAATTATTATGATGGGTTGCCTATTATGCATATACATTCATTGTAATTCACATAGCAAGGGATGCATTAAAAGCTATTTTCAAAATCTCATCTGCATCCATAAGACCCATAACAATTCTCGCCTACCCTTTAATTTGATATGATACGCTCATTGTCATTGCCATATCTTGATCCCTTGCGCTGAATCTAATTCCTTTAATTACTTTTCAAGAAGATTGCTTGAGGATAATTTGCAGAAGTTTTATTACTTTTGATGAGGTGTATGAAAAGCTCATTTCCAACTTGCAGAACACAAATTTTTATTTGTCCGTAGGCACGCCATATATATAAGCCATCCAATTCTCACAACAGTGATCTTGGCTACCCGCTGCCCAGCCATCATCTCCCTATCCATAATGCCACATAACTACCCCTTCATCCCTCAACTATCCAACATTCACTCCATACCCCATGCATCAACATTCCCCAAATCCATCTCCTTACAACCTTGATCCATATCTTGTTAATGCCAATGATTCAAGCAACAGGGCCATTTCACAAAAGGTACACCACCTTTCTCCACCATATCTGATATTTCTCCCAACCAACCCGGGCTATCCCTACCGTCCACTACAAGCTCATTTTGCTATCTCATCCACCCCCTCTAATAACATCTTGCTTCTTGATACCATTGCTCACACCATTTCACGTTAGATCCTTACAATTTCTCTCTATGCACCATATATTACCAATGATGGCATTTTTATTGGTGACAACTCAATTCTCCAAATTACTCCACAGATTCCACTTTTTTACTATTTGTCCTTAAAAATTGAGTTATCTAATGTTTTGTGTTATTGTTATGCAACATCAATTTCTTAATTCTGCCCAAAAAAAAAAAAAAGCTAGTACAATAGATGTTTCTATTGAATTCTCTTATGATTCTTTCTGCATGAAGCATCTATGGACGGGCAATCTTAATACAAGGTTCAACTAAAAACAATGCTTATTGTTTGCAATTAAATGATTTTGTTTTCTAAAAGAAGAAAGGAGAGAAGATCGCTTAATCATGCGGCAGCAACAACAACAACAAAGCCTTAATCCCACTACGTGGGGTCGGCTACATGAATCATTTTTCTCAATTGTGTCCTATTTAGTGTCATATTTTCATTTAGTTCTAAAAAATTAAGATCATTTTTTATACAATAAGCCCAAGTCTTCCTAGGTCCACCTCTGTCTTTCTTAACATAAGTCAAATCTAAAACATCTACTCTCCTAATCAGATCATCAGATGGTCGACGTTTAATGTGACCAAACCATCTAAGAAGACTTTTTCTAATTTTGTCCGTCGCAGGAGCTACCCCAACCCTATCACGAATATATTTATTTCTCATTTTGTCTTTAAGTGCAAAATCATTCATCCACTTAATCATTTTCATCTCAGCAACACTTAACTTGGTATTATGCTTCTCTTTTAAAAGCCAACATTCAGCTCCATAGAGCTTTGCAGGTCTCACCACCGTCTTATAAATTTTCCTTTCAGTCCCTTTCAGTCTAAGCTGTCTAAGCTATACTTTTCTATCACACAAAAGGCCCAAAGCATTCCTCCACTTCATCCAACCAACTTGAATTCTACTATTAACATCCCCATCTATATCACCATCGATTTGAACAATAAAGCCAAGATATATAAATCGTTCACACCTTTTAATAAGTTGATCACCCAAAGTTACCCTTTTGTCACTAGAGCTACTACCACTAAAATTACATTCCATGTAATCAATTTAAGTTCTACTCAAATGAAGGCCTTTAGACTCCACAGTAGACCACCATTATTCAAGTTTTTTCAAGGCTTTTTCTCTCGTCTTGTCCACTAGAAGGATATCATCGACAAAAAACAAACACCACGGTACATCCTCCTGTAAAAGTCCAGTAAGACCATCCATAAATAAAGCAAAAAGAAATGGGCTTAAAGCCGATCCCTGATGTAATCCAACAAAAATAGGAAAATATTTGGTCAATCCTCCTTCAGTTCGAACACAAGTAAAAACACTAGTAAATATATCTTTAATGACTTGAATATAAGTCATATCAACACAGTTCTTCTCAAGAATTTTCCAAATGATATCTCTTGGAATCTTATCGTAAGCTTTTTCTAAATCAATAAAAATCAAATGTAGATTCTCCTTGTAGATTCTCCTTATTATCTCCTTATTATCTCCGAACTTCTCCATCTAACCTCTCAATAAATGTATAGCTTCCAAAGTAGTAGACCTGCCCGACATAAATTCAAATTGATTATGAGAAATCTTTATAATACATCTTAACCTATGTACAATTACCCTCTCCCATAATTTTAAATTATGACACATCAACTTAATTCCTTTATAATTTGCACACTCTTGTGCATCCCCTTCTTAAAAATGGGGACCAAAATACTCTTCTTCCGCTCTTCAGGCATTTTTTTGTTTTTAAAATAATATTAAAGAATTTAGTAAGCCAATAAACTCTCAAATCTCCTAAATATTTTCACACTTCAATTGGGATATCATTAGGCCTTATAGACTTTTCACCCGTGGTTTTCTTTAAAGCCTCATCAATTTCTTTTTCACTAATGCAACGGTAAAAATGAAACGTTTTATTATTATTAATGATATCAAGATCATTAAGGTCGATCGTATTTTCATAAACTTTATTAAAAAGTTTATCAAAATAGCTCACTCACCTATGTTGAATATCTTTTTATAAGAAAAACACTTATTAATTTTCTTCTTTAATACACTTTACTTGAGTTAAATCTTAACTTTTATTTTCTCTTTGTTTTGTTAATTTATACATATATTTTTCACCCTTCTTAGTATTTAATATATTATAATGATTATTAAAAGCATAATTTTTAGCATCGCAAATTGTTCTTTTAGACTTTCTGCGGGTTAATTGATATTTAACCCAGTTCTCTAAACTTTTACATTTAAACCAATTTTTATAACATAATTTTTTATATTTTATCTTTTCTTGCACATTATTATTCCACCAGTAACTATTTTTATTTATAGAAACTTTTTCTTTTGATTCTTCAAGTACATCTTTTGCTACTTGTTTAATAGTGTTTGTTAATTTTTCCCACACAGTATTTGCTTCTTTATGAATATCCCAAATTTTGAAATCTTGAATTTTACTCATAAAAATAATTTTATTTGTGTCTTTTAGGTTCCCCAATCTAATTTTAAGATGATGAGTTTTAATATTCTTTATTTTACAACTTCTCATCTTAAAATCTAGAACTAAAAAACGATGTTGGATACTTAAATCCTCACTTGGAATGATCTTACGATCTTTAAATCTCGACGATCTCTTTTTCTCATAAGAAAAGAATTAATTTGTGTTTTATTAGATCAATTCTTATAAGTAATAAGATACTTATCTCTTTTCTTGAATAAAATATTAGTAATGACAAAATCATACGTTAAAACAAAGTCTAAAAAAACTCTATTTTCTTCACTAGTCACTCTAAAACCGTAGCCACCATGAATAAATTTTTTTTTTTCAAGGGCTATCATTTATATCAAGCCTTTTAAGTCATTCCAGAATTTATTACAGAATTTATCTTTAGACCCTCTATCTAAACCTACTTAAGAAACATAAACACTTATAATATTAAAAACCTTAGTATCAATGATAATCTTAAGCTCTATAATTCTATCTCCAATTCTATTAGTTTTTACAACATTATCTTTCAAACTCTTATCTATAATTACACATACACAATTTCTAGTACGACACTTACCAGAATACCAAAGTTTAAAACCTAAGTTATCAATCTACTTATCCTTATCTCCAACCCATTTAATTTATTGAATACATAAGATATTAATCTTTCTATGAATCATAATATCAACTAATTCCATTAATTTACCATTGAGAGAAAGTATATTCTAAGATCCTATCATAATATTAGTTTCATCGACTAATTTCTTTACCTGCATCCGTCCGTAATATGAGAACCCTTGCTTAATCATGCGATGAGTGTATAAATTTGAATTGACATTTGGTTTAGTGGACACCAAATATCGATCCCCCAAAGGGTTGAAAACCTTTGTGTGCTTGCTTTTGACTCGAAGAGTCCGCACCACGGGATTCGAACCCCCGACCTGAGGGACTTGCGCCAGAGGCCACACCAATGAGCCAGGTCATTCGAGCGCGAGCGCGCGCGCGCAGACACACAGATATATATATATATATATGTATATATATATATATATATATGTATATATTATTGTTTTGTGTTATTGTTTTGCAACATCAATTTCTTATTATATATATTCAACCCGAGTTTATAAACTATGAAATGCATCGCATGATTAAGCGATTTTCTCTCCCTTCTTTTTTTAGAGAACAGAATCATTTAATTGCAAACAATCCATCTAAAAAAACTTTTTCTCATTCAATTTTCACAAAATGTTTAGACATGGCATCCACTTTATATTCTTCACTTTTTATGTAATGTCTGCAAATGTGACTAAGAATTACAAACGTCCATTTTCAAAGTCATCTCTATCTCGTAGTGCACCGTAAGAATTAGTCTACTCATATGTATGGAACTTAACTTTAATCTCATGGTAATTGCAAATATTTTGTAATCTATTTCAATCATTTTACTTATTACTTTTGTTCGATTCAAAGCCATGTAAAACGTTTTTTGACATGTACGCATTCACCCTATAGAGCGATAATGGCTGTGAATGCTAAGCCATGCGCACAGTTTTAGCCCAACATGAATCTCTCAACTTAGCAGAGTACTCATACTCCCAACCATTATTGATTTTCTAAGCAGTAACATGACACATTGTTAAATCAAGCTATATCTTCTTCATTACAACTCCATGGCTCTTACCTTCTGGCTGCATGCACTTGAAACTGTTGTCTACTCGATCAATCTTATGCTTAAAATCCCATCATCTATTATGTGCTCATTTGAATAGTTTTTTGGCCCTCCACTAAACCAAAGCAAGCTTCGCATCTTTGGATACTTTTTTTATGCATGGATTTTGACTATGTCTCTAACGAACTTAAGTCTCACTCCACATTATACATGTATTTTGGTAAATTTTTCTTACAAATCTTAGGACTTCTTCGCTAAAAAGTATTTACATTATGACATGTGACCTCTTGTTGAAGTTATTTTTCCCTTCCAAGATTCAAACAACCATTATTCCAACCCTCTCTTCTCTGTCCTGGCTATCTTCTTCCACTCATCAAGTCATCTGAGCCACCGCACCTACTCCACATGCTACAGATGTCACCCCGCAGACATGAAATTTTGAAATCCACATATTCTCTCAATATAATTACTTTTTTGCCCACACCCTCCAACAATTCCTACCTCAATTTGCTCTATCTTCTCATAATCTCATGAATGCTTTTAATAAAAGCAAGAAAGATGGCTAGCTAACCACACCTCATTTGGACATAACTCTGCATGGAAGACTTATTGCATTTCTCCTTACTAAACAGTATTTTGCATCCAAACTCCACATTTTAGTTTTCCCTACAACCCACTCCTTTTTTAAGTTCTTCAAATCTTACTTTACCCGGTATTTTAAAAAATAACTCTTTTGCACAATTTCTCTCCTCCCAATCTTGTACACAAAGTCTGCCCCCGTCTTCCACCACTAGCCATATCAGTACAAACCTCCCAACTTTTTTCACACCTCACCATCCCATGCACAATCACATCGAAAACAATATAACTAAACCTAAACCAAAATGCTCTCTTCATATGTCCTCTCCTCACCTCATCAAACCTACCCGTGTCACAAAAGCAGCAATCAATTTGAATGGCGACAGACAATATTAGACAAGTTCAGGGCTTTGCTTTGAAATCAAACTCGGTAACTTAGTTTATCTTCCCTATTAAATAATTTTAGCTGGTTACAAATTTATCTTCCATATCTAGTGCAATCCTGATGGAAATATTGAAAGCTACAAGTTTTTTTTTTTTTTTCAAAGGCTTTCATTAACACCCTGACATTGTATATCAAGAAACATTTGTTTGGATTATTATATAGCTAACAACTATTCACATCATCTTTTATCTTGCCCTCCAAAGGATGGTCTTGTCGTCAACTCGGCATAAAAAAATGTATTTTTACTTTGTACTTTCATAAGGATGTTGATATGTCTCGATTATTGCGGTTTATCGATAATAATTTTCTTAATCAGACACGTCATTATCTAGGAAGCACTCTATAGTTTCAAGCAAGCACTAGCATTGTCCATGAGCTACATAAATTTTTGTTACCATGGTTTTGTTGATTGTAAGTTTGACACAACATTAGTCGTTTATTGCTACACGAATCTCACAGTGCATGTACTAATATATGTGGACGCTTGATAGCCATTTGAAGCAAATGAAAATTAGGTGCAAACATTTATCATCACCTAGATAATTGGCTCTCCATTAAGGATTATGGCGATGTCTTCTACTTTATGGGCAAGTAGGTTTTTGATCACCATAGGTCCAAGATTTCACAATGCCAATGTCCAAGAGCACGAGGCATAACAAAAGAAACAACAGTAGAATTCCTTCGAGCACAAACTTTAGACGCTCAATTAAAAGCCATATTACCTTCACACTTAATATATGACAACTGTATAATCAAATTACTTGATAACTGTTCAATCTGCTTAACATGATGGCTAGTACTTTAATGATGTTCCACCTTAAACCTGCAAACTTTCCAAAGTATAAGAGAGTCAGTTTCAACAATAATGTGAGTCCAACCGAACTTTCTGGCCGCCAAGAGACCAAAAACAATTGCATCTGCCTCAGAAATCAAAGGAGAAACAGGCAAGAAGCTGCCATAAACCAACAAATAATAACCCCCATTGAATTTCTACAAACACCACCAACACCCGCAAAATTAGAATTCCAACTCCCATCAGTGTTAATCTTAATAAACGGCGCTAAAGGACAACACCAATGAATTCAGACATAGTACTTATGCTTCGGCACAATAGCAATCTGCAGTCAACGCTAAACAACTTGCCATTAATGGAATATTTTGAATGAATAAGAAGAAGACTCTTTTTTAAGTAATTAAGTATCAAACTAACAGTTTTAGCAATACTAGGCAGCTCATTGTTGAATTTAACATTGTTTCTCGTAACCCAAATGAGCCAAATGATAATAGAAGGAACACTATTAAAAAAAGAATGTCCCAGATGATTCCAGTCTTTATAGATGTCCAAAAAATGATTAAACTGAAACAAATTTCTATTGATATGGGGTTTAGTAGTAACCTGATCCCAAATCTGATGAGTAAAACTGTAATTACAAAATAAATGCAGAATACTTTCTTCATTAGAATTGCATAAAACACAACATGAAGGAAGCCTCGACCCCTTCAATTTCAGAATAGCATTAGTAGGAATAAAATTATGGAAAATACGCCACACAAAGAAGGAAATAGAAGGCTTCACCCAACAATTCAAATTCCACTTTAGATTAATCCCCTGAAAGCTTTGACAAGATTTAACAATCGTTTTAGAATAAGAATCCTCAATGCCACCCTTAATTTTCGGCACATCAATTTTATCACAAGTAATAGGAAGAGATGAAATAAATTTAGCATCAATTGGATTAACTAACTAAATCAAATCAGCACTATTCCAACAATTATCGATTCCAAAAATTAGAGACAGTAAGGTTAATGTTTTGAGGTCCCCCATAAAAGTCCACTAAAGGACCTTTGTCTAGTCAATCATCATACCAGAAAGAAACATTTCCTTTACCAATGTCCCAAAAAATTAAGTTCTCAGTTAGCTTTGCCACTTTCAACATTTCACGCTAAATAAAAGAATCAAATTTGCAATAAGAAATGGATAGAAATGGATAGAGGATGCTGCCAGAGTATGCTGCCTTTTACAATACTTGGCAGTTAACAAAGCAGCCCATAGAGAATTGTTTAAACGGAAAAGATATCATAATTTCATATAGTTGATCTTGATAGAATCAACTAAGCTTCTAAAACCAAGACTACCTTTGTCAAGGGGCCTACAAAGTTTCTCCCAACAACTCCAATGAATATTAGATTTCCCTTTTCCTTCCCAAAGAAATTTATTAAAGAGTTTTTCTAACCTCTTTACAAACCCAATTTTAACAAACCCAACAGGCATATTCATCACCTGTAAAACATAGAGAGGTAGAGAAGTGAGAATACTCTTTAAAAGAGTAATTCTCCCACCAAAAGAAAGGAACTTATTCTCCCAACTTAAAATTCTTTTATGAATTTTGTCATACAAACTCAAGCAAAGAGCATTCCTCCTCAAGCCCTTGCTTAAAGTAAAACCCAAATAAGACAAAGGAAGGGAGGCCTTCTCACAACTAGTGGTATCTAAAATCCAATTTTTTTTGCTAGCAGAAATATGTTTAGAGCAATAGAAAGAACATTTGGAAGTGTTAAATTCCAAACCCAGAGTCCTGAAAAATCTGAATAAGCTTCCATAGTCTCATAATAGATCTTTTGTGAGCATTAGTAAAAATAATCAAATCATCAGCATAGCATAATTGGGAGATACTAATCTTGCCTTTGTGAGTATAATTCATACTTGGATATTTACCATAAAGCTCATTTAAGTGTCATATATGTATATATATATCTATATATATATATATATATAATAAACTTTAGCTGTTAGATATGCAAATAAATAAGAACTATGTGGTGTGTATGTTAATTTCCCTCTCAAGTTTGAAATGGGAATTCTACTTGTATATTTACCATAAAGCTCATATAAGTGTCATATATGTATATATATATATATATATATATATATATATAATAAACTTTAGCTGTTAGATATGCAAATAAATAAGAACTATGTGGTGTGTATGTTAATTTCCCTCTCAAGTTTGAAATGGGAATTCTTGTCGATTTATTATGCCTACCCTTGCTAAGCTCGCCAAGCTATGATTTAAATCTTTGATTCTGATTCTTTCGTCCTTGTTTTTGGTCTGTTTTCTTTGACAGGAAAGGAAGAAAAGCAGCAGATATTTCAGTTGTTGTCGTTGTTTGGGGGCCTGAAACTATGGCTTCATCCGCACATCATGCTCCACGTGGAGGTGAGAGCCTTTGAAGCTCTTCAGTCATCCTTTTCAAATTTCTTTCACCTGCGTTTTGTTACTCGAGCAAATGTTATGGTGATTGCAAACTACTTGGATTAGGATTAGGTTTTGTTATTAAGAAATGCAGGATTGGAGATGTTTGTCGGTGTCGTTCTATAAAGATGTAATGTTTGGATTGCTTGTTAGATTTGCATATTATTATTATTATTTATCTCGTTGTTGTAGATAGATTTTATATTTTATGTACATGAAAATTTATCTTATTTCTGATTCTAATCAAGCAATGAAAACACTAATTATATAACATGCCTTGTACAAAATATTCTTGTTTAAAAATTTGTTCTCTGGATTTTTATTTTATTTTATTTTATTTCGCTCGACTGCATGTCTGTGAAGCTCCAGCAAAGTTAAGACGAAGAGATTTTGTGATTTTTTAATCTCTGGTTCTTTTTTTTTGTAGTCTTTGTTTTTTTAAAGTCTGGTAAAATATTTTATTTATATGTGGTTGTGAATGTAGCTGTATTTCATTTGATAACATAAATTTTTGACCCTCCACCATGTTTGATCCTTTGTCTTCATTTTATCATGCCTTATTTTTTGTGTTTTTCATATTTAATAATTTACATTAAAGCTTCTAGATTTGAGCATACATGATGAAAATATCAAAATCAATAATTTAAATTTTAAGTTGTAGCAAATACATATGGGTGATTTTTTGCATTAGAGAAGGCTCCATCAACCATTAAATAATTATAGCATCCTAAATTTTCAATATGGGAATGTCATGTTATCAAGTCTTTTCTCACATCAATGAGTTCAAAACTCAATTTTTGAGATAAATGGCTTTGTGAACTTAATCTTGATGATGAGATTTCTCATAAGCTTACATTCATTATTACTGGAAGCTTATGCTTGCCGCCTTAGCATATTGGGTGAGGGCTTAGCTTGTCAACCAAAATGGTCAGAGTTTAAGACATTGTATATGTGATGTGTTTGTATTTGTGATTAAATTCACTGAATGTCCCCTGCGTGGTAGTTCATTTATATAATCTGTATGAAGTTTATTAATATCAAATATTCATTCTCAATAAGGATATAAGATGTTAAGAGGAAGTTTGGTAGAGGAGATAAGGGAATCTATACCTAACTGTATATTGAAATAAATAGATAAATGAGTGAACAAAAATCAGTTCTACTAAATGATTGCTATGCAACATTGCCAATGGAAGAGACAAAGTTATTATCATGCTAAGTTCAAAGAAATATAAACATATTAAATTATATCCCTTGATGAAATGTTCTTATATTATCCATTTACAATATTTTATATAACATTTTTATACATTAAGCATTAAAATAAATCAAAAGGCATATTGAGGGTGATGGAGATCCTTCATATTGTCCAAAAGGCAATTTTTTTATCTTCAAAACCTTGACTTGGGGAATAAACATTATTCTTTGATGAGGGATGAACCTAATTTTCATGTATACATCTTAAATATGAAGAGTCTCCTATATTTAGTTATTTATTATTTGCTTATGTATAACTTCGAACATGAATAGGCCAAAAGAAGCTTTTATGCATGCATCTTTGAATACAAAAAAAGTGGATGAAGCTTTTATGAATCTAAAGTTTACAAATTTAAAAATGACTATTGAACTTCAATGCCCTTTTTGGAATAGTTGGAATCATGTTTAAATGTTTATTATTTTTTATATATGAATTTATATTACTAGTTTTAAATTTTTTACGATGATTTGTTGACCGGACAAGTAAGATGTTATGATCTCCTTTGCAATGAATATAAAATATATCACTTATGCCACACACATGAATTGCATTACACCAATACTATGCCTTTTCATAGTATTAAAATATAGCATTACAAAACAATAATATGATATGATAACATGTTAGTACCATATTATAATATTAATGAGCTTATAGAGGTGGTCATTCATTTAGTCACATCATTGTTTTACATTCTTTCATTTCTCTCATTAATGTCTTGATTATGTGTTTTATTAATTCCCTCCTCCTTTTCCCTTAAAGGAACTTTTCTAAAAAAAGTTGAAGCTCTAGAGGAATAGAATTGATCTGCATAATATATTATCTTCTTCTGAAATAGTTTCTTGCTTAAAGTTTTATTGCAAATGCAAAATATCATTATAAAATTGATAGTAGTATTAGGACCTAAGAGGAGATGCATAAGATTTTTGTAATCATTTGGAATATCATTATCACAGTTGAATTTTGAGCAATTGCAGAAGATTCGGAAGATTAGAATCATAAAGTTGACATAAATGTGATTTAGAAGAATGTAGTTGTGGCGCGGCATTGTAATAAATGCTTCAATCAAGTCCGTCTTAGAAAAAAATAATTTGCTTCCTAGAAAATTGTAATTCAATGTCAATAAATTATTTAAACTTTCATCTTGATAAAGAGAAAATTTCTTTTTTAATATCCTCTAAGTCTTATTTAAGGTGCTATTTATATGTCCCTATGTTTATGTATGAAGAAATTTGGAAAGGTAAAAAGGACTTAAGAGTTAACTTGCACTATTAAAACATAATAATAATGATATGTACCCTTTTTTAACAAGCTTACCAATTTAATGTGCCCTTATAGATGACTCTTTATTTTCATAGGGTTCAATTCTTGCTAGGCTTTTATTTGATGCTAATCGATAGTGAAGAGAAGTGAGATTTGAAGTGGGATTTATTATTATTATTATTATGCAATGGAATGGGACAAAAAATTGTAGATGGTTTCGGGTGGAAGGAGGCTTTGGGAAAGTTTCCTTTTTAATAATGATTGAGTGATATTAGTAGGGTTAGAATGGTTTATGTTTTGGTTGAGTGCGGGAAGCTTATGAGTTTTGGGATGGACTAGGGGTTGAATATGATGGGCTTGGGATGTGGTGAAGTGATGGAAATAAGGATGTAGGGCTTTTAAAGGAGGTTAGATTATGTAATGGTGGTGAAAAGGAAAGA